CTAATCAATTGTGTCTCTGTAAACAATGTTTCTTTTTACAAATATTCCTGTGGGGTGGGGGAGGCTATGCGAGGAGATCATCTGCCTGGACATGACTTTTGAGTAGACTTGGCTTGTCAGTCTGACGGCTTTGGAGGATCATGACTTGTATCCGTAAAGAGTTTTTGCTAACCTTGTAAAAGGTTACGTAGGTGTAGTCTTCGTATCCAGATTTTAGACTGAAGCCTTCCAGAATGATATACGACTTACATTATCTGTCGCAAGAATTTGTAAAATTTCTTCTTCTTTCCCTCCTCCTCCTTCTCCTTATTTCTTTCTTTTCTTCTTTCCCTCCTCCTCTTCTTCTTTTTTTTTCTTTCTTTTCTTCTTCCTTTTCGTCTTCTTCAATATCTTTCTTCTCCTCCTCCTCCTTCTTCTCCTCCTCCTTCTTCTTCTTCTTTTATTTCTCATTCTTTTTCTTCTATCTCAACTGCTACCCCTTTTTCTTCTTCTTCTTCACTTCTAGAAATTTATGACTTTTGCAAATACATGTACAGCCAAACCTGCTTTAACAACACATGCATTGAAAAAAAAAAAACCTGTCTATACAGACCAAAATATCCCCTTTAAACCCTTTTTAAAGGAGCCTGCATATAAAGACCTTAGCATATGGCGAGGTTTTTTTAATGGATTTTTAAATTTGTTGTTGTTTATTTCCCCTGAGTGGTCTTTGATTTCGATTGTAGTTGTATGTAGGCCTACAACATCAGTATTGCACAAAGTTCCACCGAAATGCAGCTCAATGAAATAAACTTTTCAGTTGTTCGAACGTATTGCATCTAGACTTTCCTTCATTTAGTGTTGAATTTAAAGGTAGAAAAATCTTCAAACCTCTTTTTTTCTTCTGTCTGGACTACAGGAGCTCTCTCAAAACAGGAAGTATTTGACTAACGGTCTAATGAGCTAGGGGGGTTCTGCTTATCTCTTAATTTCCCCCTTCCCTAATCAGAGAGGAAGGGAAGAAAACATTTCAATGTCTGATTTTGTCCTTCAAATCAGTAGGTCCATGTTCAGATGCACAAAAGCAAAAGAGAAAACAAACTTTTGTATTGTCCCCATGTTGTCATCCATTAGTAGTGTATTTAGTACTTGGAGGATGGAATATAACTTGTTAAATATATACTAACATAATATATTGCTACAAGTTTTATTATGAACGATAAAACTTGGCAAATATATTGGCAGTCTCATATTGATCTATTGTATCAAAAGATACACAAGTGTGAGATATCTGAGACGGTCCTTTGTTTATTTCCAATGAATTCTAGTGTAAATATATCTGGAATATATCGTCTGTTTGGAGCCAGAAGGGTGTTAACTCATATAATGTAACACAGAGTTAATGCCCATCTGGTTCCAAACAGACTATGGAAGGATCACTAGACTGTCCAGGCATTGGGCTCAATACAAGTATCCAACCTTGCAGCAGCTTTCCTGCACAGCATCACATGGACTTTGTCTGGTGCTTATTGAATTTGTTAGAATTACCTGCCATGGAGCAGGCAACAGAATCATAGCAGCTTAGTATTGCTAGAATATTGCTATCTATCAGTTAAAATCAAATACAACACGAGAGGAAGTTTTGGGGGCTTACCAAATATGTGCATGGGCTTTAAGTATATAGTTTTTGCAAGTTATCAAGCTGTTACAACTTGTTTATTGGATGCATGTACTTGATTCTCTCTCAGAAAAACTGGTTTAAAAACCTTGACAGTTGACACAGACATCCTGAGAATCACTTCCTTTTAGTTTTATCAAACCTTTCATAGCAGATGGGCCAGCAGGTTGTCTTGTAATCTGTGTCTTGTAATCTGTGTCTTGTAATCTTTAGGTAACCTCTACCACATTCAGACACTTACAATGATGGTAAAGGTGGGCATCATTTCACCAAACCATAATAAGTTCATAGACATCCCTTTGAATTTTGTGTTCTTTCCAAGAGATAAATTATTTGCTAGAGACCGTAGAATGAAATATTTGTTTCACAACGCAATATTGTGTGTTTATTGTCGGCGGGGTATGATACTGTATATGTACTACAGGCTGCTTAGTCTTTTGAGCTGATTGTATGCAAATTTTATAATTTACTGGTAATAATTATTACGATTGATGTGATTAAACATATTGAAATTATGGTAAACAGTTCTGTTTGCCTATCTGTCCATCTGTAGTAGAAAAAAAATTCTTTCATAAGGAAGGAATAATTGTATGAATACAAGATGCATTGTATATTTAATACAAACATACAAATATAACATCCACAGACTGCATACAGTCCCACGTATAGCTTTCCATGTTTGTGTACACACACTTTAACAAGCTTGTTTTCACTACAGCCTGTATCAGAAAACAGGAAACTGGCTGCGACTTGGGATATAAAGAGGATCTAGGCTTAGCCATCACTTAGACCTAATCAACGACTTCCAGGCAGGGCAGGAGGGAGGAGATTGTTACCCAGCAAACCCTCTATTTATCGTGGTTACCGGGCAAAAGTCGTCACCTCTAGCATTTCAGTATTGGATTTGTTTTGTCTGGGGGCGCGTGGGGGGCTATAATTAGACTAGGTGCATGATGATGCGTAACTTGCCCACTTTAAAGTTTATCTAGAGAAACAAAATACCCGAGATGGTGATGATTTTTATTCTTAGAGATGGCTTAATTATTGCTCTTCTTCCTCACACCCTAACGCTCTTTAATTTTTTTCTTTTTTTGTTCTCATTTTTTTTTGTAAATTGCATTCTGCTTGCTGTGACATGGTTGATTATATCTTGGCCTTCAGTACATGTACATTTACACACCTTGGTAAAGATAAAAAAGGAGAATAATTATTTGCCAATTTTACAGAGTACTTACAGCTTCTTCAATTAGAATGTTAAATTGTATGACATTATTATCATGAATTTATTGTTAGCCTGAGCTCAAGGAAGAATAGAATTTTCCTCTTCATGATAAGAAGTTCAGCTGGGTCTGTAACATAGATGTTCGACTATCCCCTTTAATTTGTCTTTCTCCTTTTATGAGCGAGAAAGATATGAAAAGCAAATGTAATCCAGACTCATTTGATTTGATTTTTGTTGATTGAGGAAGGAGGGGGGGGGGGGTCATTCACTTCAAGTGATAGCTCTAGATGCAAGATAAATCAATGTTTTCATGACACATCTCAACGATCATGAACGTGCAATTATCAGAAAAAGGTTTCTTCACAAACCTAAGGTCATTAAACATATGTATACTTGCATACTTCTTATTCTATGAATGCATTTTCAAACTTTGGATCCATCAGACAAAATGGCAACAACCCATAAATGAACATTGCACATGCACATTCATTCATAAATACATAGCTGTTTTCACATGAGGTCATTTCAATACAAAGATGTGTACTGGTAATTTAGGCCTGACTGAGAGCATTTACATGCAGTTGTTTTGATGGTGGGTGATTTCAGTACGAAGGAGTGTAATTTAGGCCTGAAATCCTGCCCTCGATGGCAGAAATTACGTCGTATAATCCAAATCAAGCCATGGCAATATCCCTTCCATTAGGTATGGGTGAATGGTATACTGTAGATTAGGCCTGTTTTCATCAGCTTGAGATTGCCAAATATCCCACTATTTAAACTATCCCGATCGCAAATTATCCAGTTAATTTGCGTCTTCATCAGCCCGAAGTTGCAATTAGCGGGATACTTGGTCGAGATAATCATCCCGAGTTGTATTGGGCTAGTCTGCAAAATATTTTGCTATTTGTCTGGTGCGTCATCACCAGCCCGAAGACTTGCACTATACGGGAACACTGAGCAAAATATCTCGAGCTTATTTCTCAAGCTCAAGTTTAAAGTTTTGAGGTCAAGTCTCGAGCTGATGAGGATGCGATTTGTAACTTCGGGATTATTTCCCAAATCAAAAATCGCGGGCTATTTGGCAATCTCGAGCTGATGAGGACAGGCCTATTGACTGACTGTCTCTGACTCATCCTCTAATGTTATCGGATGCCCTAGCTATTGCCGTGCCATGCTACTCCTGCGGTATTGATATCCAGTGCAGGATTTAGTCCAATCTCAATTTCATTCAGACATTCATTTATTCATTCATAACAAAGATGGCACGGTTCAGCTCACCGATCCTGGGAGGAGTTTCGTACCTCGGTCCAGTCGACAGGACGGACACCAGACGGACAATAGACCGAACAAAAGAAAATGATATTTCCTCAATGGCGAAAAAGTAATTCGGTTTGGAGTCGGTCTGGTTTCGGTCTGGCGCTGTGACGTGACTGAGGTATCAGCTTGGGAGGTTGGGAGAATCAGCCCATTGGACGCTGAACTCCCTCATTCCCCTCAAGCTTAACCCTATCAGAACAAGATTTTTTAAAGGGCTAAATTGATCACATGTTGTTCTTCAAATTGGCAGCAAAAACTATTGTTAGACCTCACTGATAATGAAGCATCATGCTTAAAATCAAAATACATTTGTATTGTTTAAAATAATTCTTTTTTTTGTGTGGGGGGGGGGGGGGGTCTTAATACTATTGTAATTACTCTACGAATGTAACGGTCAGATTTCATGAAGATTTCATTGTTATTTTTTGTAGGAGCAATTATTGTATTGTGGTGTTTTAAGGGAATTAATTTTATATTCTTAAATAGCACTACTGAGAATCTCTTAGTTGAAATTTTGCTTGATTTCTTTTATTTCTTTCAGCTCCCAACAATTTGTTATTTGTTCATATCTGTCAAGTTCTAAAGATTCATTTATTGTGAATACATTTAATTTCAATTATTTCTTTCAGCTCACATTATTCCAATTTTCAGTCACATTCTATTTATCACGTTCATTAATTGTAATTTTGTTTAATTTCTTCTGTTTCTTTCAGCTCTTAAGAAGACGTTATTCCACTTCTCAGTCGCGTTCTATTTATCACATCCATTAATTGTATTTTATTTATTTTCTTCTGTTTCTTTCAGCTCCCAAGAAGACGTTATTCCACTTTTCAGTCAAGTTCTACTTATCAGACCCAGGGCAACTACATGAAGAATTCACAAAGTAAGTGATTAATTGAACCATTCAAATGTTATAAATGTATTCTTGAGTTATGGGACCTGTTTCACAAAGCCTTTTTCCAATAACAATCGACAAAAATCATTGACAAATCTGCTGATAACCAATCAGAAGCAAGGATTTCACTAGCTTATAACAAAAACTGTCATTTGTCACTTCATGATGACAAGTTTTGTGAAATGGGACCCTGGCAATGATAATATTGAAATTTTCACGCAAAATTGAACCAAACCCACATTACATGTTTAAGAATACCAACAAATGCCTTGTTATCAATAATCATTTGTTTTATTAGTAGATGTAGATCAAATGAAAATGTAATTGAGATTAGTATGACAATTCAAAGTGGGAGTACTATTTCTGTCCACTTCAGTGAATTCTTATTTTACTCTTTATTTATATGAATCCTTTATAGAGGTTATTTTGAAATAGAATAGATTTTCATTTCCTTTACTTCAAGATGAAAATATTTCCTCATGTGCCATTTTGTAAATCCAGAAATTAGAAGAAGAAAAAAAAATCAACAACAAGCAAACCATGTAAAATGTATTATATTATTGAATATTAAATATTTCTGATTTCTTGCCAAAATTACTGTTCTGTTGGAAATGAAAAAGAAAAATGAAACTGGAACTGAATCTGAAACACAAAAACAAAAAATCCTTAAGATTGTTTGTTTCGAGAACACTTGACGTGTGTTTACTAAGAATTTGAAAAGGAAATATTTTCTCTTATAATTTGTTTGTCTTTCCTCTATCTTGAAAATACATGAAGTATAAGAGTTAGATCTAATCCTTATGTGATTGTAATTACCAATCGAAACAACATTTTTGTAATGTAATACATATTGATAGTTTAAAGATGTAGTTGAGTTTTGGTCATGCAATTGCATTGTGAAAGAAACGGTGTGGAATCGACCAGAAAAGGTTGATCATCTAGCATATAAGAATTTGTGTGTTTTGTAAGGTTCTGGAATCATCAAAATGATAAAAAAATTGGCCAAGTCTTGGTAAAGTTACAAACACTGTACACAGAAAGATGTATATGGGACTACACGAACATGTGGCATAAAAAACCTACCCTGGAGTTTTACGATGTTACATGACATATTTAGAATATGAAGGCATTTGAAGAGCCATGCTTTTCAGGGAACATGTCTTATCTGATGTTCCTCCACACTTGCATAATAAGAATGATAATGCTCACAAATTATTTTCACCTCTTCCCAGAACTCAACCTTCTTTTTAAAGATGTTCTTACATGTAGCTTTTATGTTCTATTATCAATTGTTGTATCATAGGAATAGTTTCCAATCTCATTTATGATACCTATTCTCTGATTGGACAGATACCTGTTCGCCCTGCAAGTGAAGAAAGATCTGGCCAATGGCAGGCTACCTTGCTCAGAAAACACAGCAGCCCTCATGGCTTCATATATCTTACAAGGTGAGTTCAAATTGTATGATTTTTAAAAAAAATGATAATAATAAATCTAAGTCATTCAATGTGAGATACATGTACATGTATTACTAGAATTTCTCAACTGGTGAAATGGCAGGTACAGCTGTTTCAAACCTCGGGTTTGTTGCATCATGCATTTAAAAGAAGATTTATTGATATCTGCTCAGGTATTTGAATGGAGGCTTCATCTGCATTTCAAGTTATTTTCAAATGCCACATGCCACACTTCAACTGAACAAACCGCAGTGGTTAATTTTCTTTGATTTATTATGTGCTGTTTATAGGCCTACTATTATACAATTTGTCGTAACATCTTGTATGAATTCTGAATTATGCAATTTGTTTCTTTCTCTGTCATAGTGCATTATTATTACAAGGTATTTTAAATACACTGTAAATATTGTGAAGATCATGATTCTTAATTGAAGAAACATTTTAGAGGGACAAGATGTAAATGTACAAGATACAGTCAATCCTGCTTTAGTGACCACCTGTCTACAAAGACCACATTTTTGTGTTTCCCTTGGGCAGTCACTATAGACAGGTTTGACTGTATGTTACACAATATATGTCGTACATGACTTCTGCTAGAAGAAAATTACATTTACATGCATACCCGACATACAGTGATTGAAATGATGTCATATTTTTGTTCATTTTCACAGCTGAGGTTGGGGACTACAATCCGATGGAGCATGACGACGGTCGTTACATCACAGCATTCCGTTTCGTGCCCAACCAATCAAGACCGATGGAGCTCAAGATTCAGGAATACCACAAAAACCACATGTAAGTTGTAAAACTTCTCTCTCCCTTTAAATAACCAACAGAAATCTCTGAAAAAAAATCCCCTTTTTGTAACTTTTTTTCTCATTTTAAAGAAGAAGAAGGAAAAAAGTTTGTGGAAAGCTCTCAACCATGAATCCTGTCATGCTAGTTTCAATGAGAATGAAAATTACTTCTGCTACAATAAGTGAACATGAGAATAGTTGCGTCATTAGAGGTCATGACGGCCCAGTTTCTCAATAGAAATCTGTGAAAACATGCCTTTTTTGTAGGTGTAAACATTTCCTGATTTTGGAGAAAAAAAGAATAAGTTGGTGTAAACCTCTCAACCATAATCCACTTGTGCTATGTAAAGGTCAACGAAATTGAAAATGATTTGAGCTATTTGTACAACTAAGTGAGCTCGAAATCAGGTGTGACAATAGTAGTAACTGCTACGAAATTGGTTCTCATGTGTTTCTCAACAATTTTGATGAGACTTACAGAAACATAAGAATTGAAATGAGACCAGTGATAATAATCATAGTTGTCATAGAATAGAGAGCATTATCATTTACAGAAAAATTGAATAAATAAATAAATAAATAAATAAATAAATAAACAGTTATGAGTACAAAAATATCACAAGCCATAGCTGCACTCTGACTTGTTTCTTAGGGTCAAACATTTTTGGGGTCCGAAGTGAAACAATGAGGACTGAAGTGATATAAAACAGGTCATAAACATTACATAGATTCAGAATCGAGTTGTGAGTGATGGTACCGTGTATCATCTGTTGAGAGACAGAAGGGCGTTCGCTAACTCATGTCTATCCTCTCTCCCTTCAGTGGTCAGACGATGGCCGACGCCGACTTCAACCTCCTGGACGTGGCGCGGAGGCTGGAGATGTACGGGGTGCGCCTCCACGCCGCCAAGGACTACGAGAACGTCCAGCTCTACCTGGCCGTCTCGCACCAGGGCACCCTGGTCTTCCAGAACAACACCAAGATCAACACCTTCTCCTGGGCCAAGATCCGCAAGCTCAGCTTTAAGCGGAAGCGCTTTCTCATCAAGCTCCATCCAGAAGGATACGTAAGTTATTGCTGAATATATTACTCATTACGGATCTTGTATCGAAAATAATATCGCTAGTGATATTCGTTTGTCTCACAATGTATGGTCAACAAGGGATCTAAAAGATCACGACATTTTGTGTGCCGCTGCAACACTTCGTCAGGTGAAAACATCTAATGTAAGCGTGTTTTAGATCTCTTGTTGACCATACCTTGCGAGACAAACAAATATTACTAGCGATATTATTTTCGATACGTCAGTTGTTTCCACAAGGAAAATTTGTTGTTATTTATGTGTTACTAAATCATTGATAAATTCCATTTTCTTATTTATCTGAAAAGATATTTTAGTTGTTTCAACAAAGAACATTTGCTGTTCTTTATTGGGAGTTTATTGAGAAGGAATACTATGCGATCATAACAGGAATATTGTTCCATGATTTATGATAATGAGTGCTTCCCATTTCTATGTCCTCTTTCATTACATACTCATTACTACTACACGTATGCATTGCAACATGAAGTTACAAACGCTGCATGTCTGAAAATGATCCATAGCATCGAATGGATTACAGACAAACTGCAGCGTTACTAATGGTCATGATGATCAGTCACATGTGCTTCTAAAGATGTTTGCGTCGGCTATTTCCGAACCATCGGTTATCGAGAGGGGAGACGTGAGATAAATTTGGATAGTTGGAAACAAATGCTTATGAATAATTCTAGGGCTTGGTGACCTAGCTGTAGCAATCCCTAGGCCATGCTAATTGCAATGAATCTGGCACTGAGCAGTGGAGAGGTTTGAATAATAGAGAGCTTTTTATTAAAGAAAAGATTGAGTTTAGGCAAGGGTGGGCAAAGTAATTAACTTGTGAGGTTTCTTATTCTTTTATCCCTGCTTCAATTATTTCGATGCACATTCTCCAATCCCTGGGGAGCAATCCAGCCAACCGCCATTTTACAGAGATGCAAAATGCTGATCTAACTATAATTACAAATTTATATTTAACCTTCCTTGGGGATACATTCATTTTCAGAATATTCTCTTCTTTTTTTCTGTGTAAAAGCAATATTTTATTAGTCCATCAGTGCAATTTGTCTGCTGCTGTGGACTTACAGGATTATTTTTTCTGTCATGGATCCTGTTTCATAAAACTTGTTATCCATAATAAGTTACAATAACTGGTATAAGCAACTGAAATCATGGCATTTGATTGGATGAGAGCAAACGTGTCATAGAAATTGAGCATTTGTTATTGATTACAACAAGTTTTGTGAAACGAGGGCCCTGGTCAGGGAAGAAATGGCTGCCCCATTGGGGGGTTGTACCACACAACCCCTTTGGTTGCATTAACATTCCACAATGCATACTCGGCATGCCACATAATCTGTCCAGGTGACAGGGACTGTACATCACGTATCCTCTTTCTCCCCATTTTGCATCTGCCCCCCCCCCCCCACCGTTTTCTACGACAAATGCTGCGGTGACAATCGCCCCATGGTCAATCTCTGGCTTCAACCCTGTACCTTACCCTTTTAATCCTAAACTTTAAAGGGAAGTCCACCCTGGTATTACTAAACATAGAAAAATGAGAGAAACAAATTAGTGAAAGTTGGGCAATATCCGATTTAAAATAGGAAAATTATGAATTTTTGAAGTCGTCATCAGCAAAATATAAAGTGGCCTGTTTCTCTCATTTCTCTGCTATCATGGTTGACTTCCCTGTTAACCAAACTTAAAACACATAAGGCCTGTATTTTGCAACTTTGGTCCGATGGAGGCAGGCCTAATGGGAATCCTAACCCTGTATCTTTGCAGAAAGAGAATCTGGAGCATGCATGTATTGCAACCCAATCCATTGCCTCCTCCATGTACCCTTGCCTCCCCCATCCCTAGACAATAAAAGGCCCATCAGAATGTATTATTCAGATTTAAAGCCCATGGTCATGAGATAGTGTTCATATTTCTAGAGTACTCGTAAAACTTTATGTACATGCTTTATATACATGTACATGAACATCCATAAATTTACTGAAAATAAATGTAGAACATTAATGATAGGCCAATGCAAGTCCATGGGGCGATGGGATGGGATGGGATGGAGGGGGGGGGGGGGGGGGGGGGGTGCACGGGTCTTACTTGCTGATTAATTGGTGATGTTGATGGAGGGCATTGTAGTAGTTTATTTTAATGTTCAATTTCTATCTTTCCCTCCCCCTCTTTTCTCCTCTTTGTGGGGGAGGGGGGATAATGTGTTACCCCAGCTATGCCACTGTATGTGACTGCCACACAGAATGTTTTCTCCTGCAAACGACAGGGAGAGGCAGAATGATTCAGTATTAAGTGTATGAGGGGTTTGTGAGGGTCATGCATTGATGATGTGTTATGATCACATGACCTTTGTCAATTGAAGAGATGGATGACCAGTCTGAGGCTGTGTATCGGTCTCTAATGATGATGATCTCATCAATCAGTAGATAGATGAAGAGACATATAGAGAGAGAGAGAGAGATAGAGAGGGGGAGGGAGTGCAAGAGACAATGAGGCAATGATAGACAGAGTGAGGGGAGATGGAGACAGAGAGGGAAACAGAGACGGGAAGAGACAGACAGATATACAGAGAGAGAGAGACAGACAGACAGGCAGACAGAGAGGGGGAGGGAGTTCGAAAGACAATTAGGCATTGTGAGGGGGAGATATAGACAGACATACAGAGAGAGACAGACAGAGACAGATGGGGGATGGAGTATGAGAGACAATGATTCATTGAGAGACAGAGCGGGAGACAGAGACAGACAGACATACATACAGAGAGAGAGAGAGAGAGAGAGACAGACAGACAGACAGACAGACAGACAGGCAGATTAAGAGAGAGAGAGAGAGAGAGACAAGGACAGCAGGGGAGAATATCCAGCATTTAAGCTCCAGCAACAGTTGCTCATTTTAACCCTAGTCCAGTTCCTATCTTCACTGTTTCTAACCTGAACCTAAACCTAAACCTAGCGTTATATCCCATCATTAGCTCTACAGTATGCTTTTCATGAAAGAAATTCAGGAGCAAATGTCACCTGAGTAAACATTATTTTTTTCAATGAGAGAGAGGGAGGACGGAGAGAGAGAGGGGAAGGACGGAGAGAGAGGAAAGGGGAGAGAGAGAGGGATGGGAGAGAGAGGGAGGGCGCGAGAGAGAGGGATGGGAGAGAGAGTGCGGGCGCGAGAGAGAGAGGGATGGGAGAGAGAGGGAGGGCGTGAGAGAGAGAGAGAGGGAGGGGGGGGAGAGAGAGAGAGGAGAGAGAAGGAGGGGGAGAGGGAGGGGGGGTTGGAGACAGATAGACAGACAGACAGACATACATGTATAAGCATGCAAAACAAACTCATTTTGGATGATAGTACCCTTAGTATGGTACCTCAAGAATGGACTACACACACACTCAAGAAAGTAAGATTACCGACAGTCCTTGTCAGGACTCCCCAATCCTCCCCTCTCTCTCTCACATGGTGCAACCGTAAGCCTACTGTATAAGAATGGGTATGTCTTGGACATACTCTATACCAATCCCCATACATAATTTACCAACTCTTCTCTCACACCTCACAGGGTTATCCCAGGAGTACGGTGGAGTTCCTGATGGAGACCAGGAACGACTGCAAACACTTCTGGAAGGCCTGCGTAGAGCATCACGCCTTCTTCCGTCTCACACAGATCAAGTACCCCAGATCAAGAAGGCGGCTCTTGAGCAGAGGATCAACATTTAGATACAGGTAAAGCAAGGGGTTATTCAGAAAATATAAAAACTCAGGAAAATCAAGCTGTAACTAATTGTCCCAATGGAAATTGTTATGTCAAAGAGACAGATTTTGAGCAGGGGATCAACATTTAGATACAGGTAAAGCACGGATTATCATCTAGAAAATACAAAGAGCAATGAAAATGAGCATTTAATCAATTGTCTCATTGTATTAGTTGTCTTCCTGTTGATCTCAACTTTACAGTCCCCTATCTCTTATTAACATAGTTGTGATTGATATTAAACTCAAATAAGTTGCAACTTGTAGCAACTGTTTACATGACAGTTCTGTTTACATTTTTTTTTCTCTCTCTTCTTTCCAGTGGAAGGACTCAGAAGCAAGTTGTTGAGCAGGCCAGAGTTGGAGGAAACTCAAGATCGTTAGTGTAAGTGTGTCTAAAAACAGACGTGGATAGTTTTTAAGGTTCAGGCTTCATTAAAGCTAACCTCCAGTAGTGGTAAAAAAAAGAAAATTATTTCTCACAGAATCAAACGAAACTTACACTGAATGTTCAAGATTACAAATAAATGACATGTGCCAAACAATTTTGGAAGAAAATGTATACTGGCTGAGTAATGAGCATAGAAAGACAAGGAATCAAGGTAGTACCAACCCCGACAACATGCGTGTTGTCCCATACATAGCTTTCTGTGTATGTGCTTGTTACTTTACCAAGACTCGGTCAAATTTATTATGATTTTGATGACTCCAAAACCTTGCAGTGCACACCAATACTTACATGCTACATGATCAACTGTTTCTGATCCTTTCCACACCTTTTCTTTCACAATGCAATCGCATTACCAGTACTAAAGTTTAGCTTTAAAGCAATGTTCATAATATGCACTTTAGAGTTGGGTATAATTGGAAAGGAGAAACAGGTTATAATTTACTGTAAGTGTCAATGTGTGTTTATTTGTTAAGTAGAACTTTGTAGATTCTTTTTAATTAATTTTAAAAAAATAGATAAAGGGATTGTGTTGTGTGGATTAGATCAGTTATCGTCCATAACAGTGTCTGCAAAATGAAACTACAGTAGGCTCTGTACTGAAGTTACTCTAGACAGCACAGCCAGAACCTGACATATCTAAGCTCTGCTCAAGGCTTAAGGAATTGTGGTTAAGTGGCAAATTAGAGTCTGTGCTTGCAGACTATAGATTGGCAGTCATACAGATGGTGTGGATGTTGTTTGAAATCACAGTCCCTGTGAAAGCATCATTATCGGAAGCAATTGAAGGATGTAGTTGGTAGATATCCTTCGACCATACTCATGCTATTTTCTTGGTTATTTACTTGTACAGTCAAACCTGCTTTAGTGACCCCCTGTCTACAAAGACCACCTGTTTACAACAAGCACATTTTTTGTTTCCCTTGGGCGGTCGCTGTAGACAGGTTTGACTGTAAAGGATATTTGAATGTAACCGAGTAAACTTATTTTGTTATGGATAATAATGTATTCAACGTGGCCAACTGAAGTGATTGTTTGTTACATTTTCCTGTTGACGAAAATGAGGTTCTCACACGTTTTGTATCCATTTTATCCATCTGCAGGACACTGAATGCATCCAGGATGTCAACAAGAAGCCTTGGTGCTCCACGGACCACCACCCCTCTCACCATCGACATGACAGAGACAATAGTCACTGACCATCACAGTGCGCCTAACCTGGCCTTCCCAGAAGACCCCACCTATGCCAAACCTGACATGCCTAAGAGTCCTGTCTCAGAGTCACCGACATCCCCTCCGTCATCGACACCCATCACACCGGTCCATGACAACTCCAGAATCGCCATCCACAAGGGCCAGTCCAACTCCAGTATCATGTACGAGTACACGGTGAACGACGACAACTCGCAGCAGACCCAGGCCGAGGTGGACTCCAGCCAGGCAAGCAGGCTGGCCAGTTCCTCGGGTTCCTTCAACGCCAGGATGGAACCGGAGCCGATTATGTCTTCGGGAGAGACCAGACTGGACGCCCTCTCAGATGCGGAGCCCAGGAGGAACGGAGACATCAACATGGGAGGCAATCAGAGTATGCTTTCTTCTAGTTCTTCCAGTTTAAGTGTTGTTGATGAGCATGGGGAGGAGGAGGTGAAAGAGGAAGAGGAGGGGACGCACGTGGTCCGTCCCATCGCGGACATCTTGCGTCCCCTCCTCATTGGGGGAAAGTTCACTTCCGAGGACTCTGATAGCAACTCCTCCCTCGTCTCATCCAACCTAGAGGATATCGAGACGGAGGGGGACAGGGAAGGGGAGGACGGGGAAACGGAAAACCCAGACTTTGATCTGGGATCGGTTTCAGAAATGCTAAGTGAGATGGATACGATCAGTCCCTCGGAAGTGGAGGCTCGGATTCATAGCGAGACCACCCTAGGCCTGCTAAGCGAGATGAGCACTCCCGGCACTTTCACCGACATGGAGGGTGGGTTATTCAGCTTGCCAGAGGTCATTTCGGACACTGAACCTAACTCTGACATATTCAAAAGTCTTGGCTCCCCTGATAGTGTTAGTGATATTGATCAAGATGAAGATGATGGTCGTAATCTATCCCCTTTACAGATCCATGAGTCCCTCTTTGTTTCAGAACTAAGCGATATGCTAGGTAAAGATGGGCTCCACCGCAGGGGAAGTTCTAGCTTAAGCAGTAGTAGCAGTAGCACTAGTAGCAGCAGCAGTAGCAGTGATGATTTTGATCAAAGAGGGCGTACCGATACTGAAATTAAAGTTGAATATCCCGTAGCCGAAGTCAAAGCCATTCCCAGTGACCTAACAAGCCCTTCTGTTGATGATGCTTTCACTTTTAGTAGTTATGATTCCCCAAGTCTTGACTCCTTCTCACTAGCTCATTCTGAAGCAGGGCAATTGGGGAACGGGAGAAATTTAGAGGGTAACCTTCACAGTGACTATAGGGCCTTTAGGCAAGAAAGGAAACTGTTCTTTGAGAGTGATGAGAACCTGGGCCATACCCTTGGGGAAGCAAATGCTAATCTCCAGGCTTTAGAAGACGATCTTGATGAAACCTCTCACACCCTTGTCCAGTTAGAAGAATCCCTGGCGGAGACTCTCCAAGCAGAAGGAGTCGACGCCTTTACAGAAACCAGCTCCGGTACCGGTACAGACCCAGATGAAGAAGTAAAAGGGGTAATATCCAAGGGTCTTACAGAAATCGATGTGGGCACAAAGCGCGTCTCCTTCTCTACAGAAACCGATGAGACATCTATGATCCCTAGTATTCTGGAATCTCTTAGGGACTCTGGGGACACTGCTAGTCCAACCCCTTTAGATCTTAAGATAGATTACCTGAGGGACTATGATGAACTATTCCAAAGGGATAATGCTTTAGTGGACGATGAATCCGGTAATTCTTCCGCTCCGCTTCAATCCCCGCCACACCACTATGTCAGTCCTGGTATCTTGCCCGAGAGTAGTCTTCCCAAACTCCCAGAATTGTCTAAAGAAATGGTTGCCAAATTGGAAGCCCAAACAGAGGCAGCCCCTATCAGGACAGTAATCCAGGATGAGATAGAGGGAGGGGGTGATGACATTTTAGGGGATTTGCCAAATATCGGGGGTAATGGCTTCCAGGGAACCAATGGGAACTGGCATCATCAGAGAGGGTCTGGTCAGTCGGTGTATGTCAGTAAGTTAAAGGTTCAGATCCCGCGACCGGGCGAGCTGTTGATTCCGCCGGGGAGCGCCGGGAGCGCCGTCAAGTCCAGCAGCCCCGGGAGTGACGACTCCATGCGCAGACACTTTGGTACCGCGCGCAACCCCGATGACCTTGTCAGTTGTAGTGAGCTGAGTTTTGGAAACCTAGAAAATGAGAGCCTGCGTGTGCACTGTGATGGTGGTGATGGTACTGCTGCGTACATGAACCTGGGGTGTGGGATGGATGATAACCTGAGTGAGAATGAGAGCGATAGTGAGGTGGGGAGTGACGAGGGCACGACGTCGAGCTCCAATGATAGCTGTGTGTATCAGTATAAGGTCTCCGAAGCCCGCTACACCAAGACCCACTCTAAGAGCAGCCTCGGAGAGTCGGGTGGTAGCTCTAGTAGTGAGGGCGGGGACCAAGTGCTTGGTCCAGACGCTGGGAGTGCAGCCGCTCATTTTGATATTTTCACTGGTAGCGGTGGAATACTGTCTGGCAACGGACATGACTTGTTTGCCGACTTGGAGAATAACGACTTCTCCCTGGCAGCAAGCACTTGCAATTCAGACGATTTTGATTAATCACACAACACTCTATATCTTTCTTTGAATATCAACATTTAAAATTCAGTATATATCGTACAAAAAAATATTGTTGACATTGTTTCCACTCATCAGTTTTTGAAGACTGGATGTAAACAATTGAAACACAACACAAGTCGATTATTCAATTGATGGCTTCGCAAAGAAACCAACTCATGTTCTTATTATGATATACAAAATATATACACATGTACTTGATTATAATATACAAATATAAACAAAATACATATTTCAATACATAGAAAAAAAAAATATACAAAATACAGTTTTCAGCAGATGTCTATTAAAACGATAGTTAAGGGAGTGAAATCATTACTCTTTTTATTCTTTAGCATAATGCCTGTGCTATTAGCAAATATGTACTTGCAATGTATATTAACTATGATACGTGTAACTCAGAAAAGTTAGCAAATTGTTTTTGTAATACTATAAATGCACTTGATATATTAATCTTATTATTTCATAGTTTACACATTTGAAGCATGTAAGTTTCTCAAGCGCATGAAAGAAAATATATGATACCGAAAATATAAATTGCTACTAGCTTGCGCTTGTATGTCAAGTGTGTTACCCTGGATGGTGTAGGTGTGATAATTCTTTCCATGTTGGAATTGCAAAATCCATGGCTGCATTCAGACTTGTAAATAATCCAACGTGCTATCGCGGGGTCGATACCCAGTACTACACCAGGAGCCATGCATAGAACGATTATGGAAAGTCAAACTGTTGTGTTTAAGTCTGTGTATGAACAGGTAGAGATGGTACTATTTCCTCAAGCCACAAAAGAATATCCCCAGAAACCGATCCATTGCAAATGTACTTTATCCCACTCCAAATCCCAAATTCCTTGAAAAAGAAATGTATTTTAGATAACAGTGCTGCTTTCATTCTCTGTTGACTACAGACTATTTTTCAGCTTTAAATCTCTTACAACCCAGCATTCTCTGCCCTCACCTCCCCCCCCCCCCCCTCATATTTCCTCTCCTCTAAACCCCACCCGGTTGTAAATAAATGTAGGTTGTATAACTTTGACTCAGAGTTTTCTTTTTGACATGTAAACCCTTTTGCTCCGTCATATAAACTCAGGAATGACTTTGAAAAAGTCTGGTACTTTTGACAAACCCCACCCACCCAGCCAGCAGATGCCAATCTGAAGTAAACCCTCTCTCCCGCCAATTAGAACTGGCTTATTTTTGTACTTTTGTTTTTTTCTGAATAGTACTTCAAATCAAAGTTATTTTCCCTTTAGGAACTTTCATTCCTGCTTTATTTTTCTTATAATACTTTGTCCTTGAAACATGAATTAGCTTTTTATTCTTCTATCTTTCGATATTGGCTTCCTGAGAGCCTTCTGTACATTGGAAAGGCTATTATCTCTTTGTTTGAGGATAAGGGAGAAGATGAACATAGGAATTGCACTGATGTAAAGCTTTTTCTTCTTTGTTATATAGCTCAGAAAATGCTCGGTACTAAATTTCCATCCCACCTCTTTATTTTGAAATCCAGTGTTTAACTTACTTAGTTATATCATAGAAGACAACCAAATGTTATGTAACGGAAGTTGCTTTTAGAGAAGTCAATTGTGCTGTCTGAATTTGAGTGTGAAATGCAACTAGTAAAGTTTTGCCAAAATGGTTTCTGCAAAAAAACTTCCTTTAATGTGGGACTGCACTACTTATAGCTACTTGCGCCCTCTATACAGCAAACTATGCCCAAGCGGTACCTGTTGATCCCCCATGGTCCCCTTTTTCTTACGTTAATCGAGATGTTATGTTTGATGAGATAACCACCTGTCAGTGACCATGCAGGGAGGTCTAATCCCTCCTGGCCAAGCTAGTGCAGATAGGCTTTAATGAATTTAATTGTGCTTTAATTTGAGTGTGAAATGCGACTACCGGTAGTAACATTATGCCAAAACGGCTTCTGCAAAAATACTTCCTTTAAACTAAAATGTTATTCATGTGAAATGACTTTGCTAATAGATACTCTTTTTAGTAAGTTTCTTGAAGGAAATAATTGAAAACATCTTCTCTTGTTTCTGTTTTTGGGGTCATTTGTGATCCTACAGGAAATGAAAAGTGCCTATTTTCAGCATTATTATTAAGATCTGTTATTTTGTTACAGCCGCCCTGAATATAAAGCTTACATAAATATTGTAGATGTTGGAAATCTATTTTTTATTACGATTTTCTTCTCTCAGGATTTATCTAGGCTAAGTGGCCAATATATTTCAACTTCATCTGGGCCTAGAGGGTTCAAAAATACACAATAGAATAAATTTTGAAGAGAGAGATATGCCTAAGATTTTATTAATGAATTTTGAATGAAGATTTTGAAGTTTAGAAATGACAAAGGTTTTTTTCCCCATGACCAAGAATATTAAGGTAAGAATTACATGTTTATCACACAAAGTGGAATGCCATATTGAATTGTGATTTTTAACCACTTGCACCAAATTAATTAATGTGTCACAATTTTACACCTTTTCGTAGACTGCAGCTTTTTAAACCAGAAAAGTAACTAATTCCATAACCAAGTTCGTTTAACTGTTAATCCATTCTTGCACCAATTAACACATTTAATTGTTGTGATTGTAGTGGTTCTAATACATTGTTTGCATACAGAATGACGCCATATAATTAACTAGTTACTAATTACAGAACATGATATCTTCATTTATCATCAATATTGATGTGATACAATATGATACATGGATTTCGAATCATACTGAACTCCACGCCCCCCCCCCCCCCCCCCCCCCCCCCACCTCCAGCTCCA